CGGGATAATAAAAGAAGAAAAAATGTATATTTTTTTATACCTTTTTGTATACCTGTATCTTACTATTATATTACTAATATGTAAAATGAATATTGGGATAGTATTAGGAAACAAAAAGTATACCATTATGTATCCAAAATCTATCTTTTATCTTACTCTAATACTAATATCCGTTAGTTTACCATTATTCTTTTCCGATATGCATATCGGGTAAATAATGGGTTAATAAAGATATATTTCGTTATTTAACCTTTATTCATATATTCGACCTGTGAGTGTTTGGGTAATTTACTAATTGAGCGTTTGGGTAACTGGGTAATTGAGTATTTGGGTTATTGAGTAATTGAGCAATTGAGCAATTGGGTAATTGAGTGATTGAACGATTTGGTAATTGAGTGATTGAGCGATTTGGTAATTGAGTAATTAAGCAATGGGTAACTGAGAAATTTAGTAATTAAGTGATGAAGTAACTAAGCGATTTAGTAATAGAGTAATTGGGTGATTAAGCAATTGAAAACTGTATGCAATATAATTTTTTACTAGTAATAAACATTTATAATTGTAATAATTAAAAAATATATAAATAAAACTTCTTCGATCCAAAATTTTTGTAAATTTATTTAAATAATTAAAATTGAAATTACAGCATTACAGTTTTATAATCAAATAAATTTTTTATATTTGCTTACAAAAAATCTTAACCCAGTATTATAATTCATAATAATAAACCCACTAATTAGATAGAAGACACTAATTATGATGAGAGCTATTCTGATTTTGATGAACCTGCAACTGAAATAGAAAACCTTTCTATTCTTAATTTCGGCATTGATGCATATCAAGATATTAAGAATAAAATTTTACAGAAGAATAGTAATAATGAAAATGAAGATTACAATCTTAATGATACGACTGAAGAAAATATATCGTCCGAATTTGACGAAGAGATTGAAGAAATTTTATTAGATCAATCAGCAAAAAACAATAAATACACATCTTGTGTCATTATAGATAATGACAATAACGAAAAAAAAATACAACGATGTAACAGAATTGATGAAGGAGGTCCTAACCGACCTCTTGCCTAACTTAAAGGCACTTGGGAAGTTGATCGTGATACTATTATGCAATGAAATAAAAAGCTAAATAAAATTGGTATCTGTTATCGATATTTTTTTTTTGATCAAAATCAACTACATTATAAAAATATTCAACTATTAGGAACAGACCAAAGTATTCTCTATTATACATGATACATGTTCTGCAATAAATATAAAATTTTCTTTATGTGTGGTCAGGGATGTTCTAAGCATTTATGGACAATATGTGGATGCAATATTAGAGTTCCGTGCTTAGGATTATGAACATGCAATGCATTACAACCTTGTCTTTTAATTTCCATTCAATCAACAAATAACATACAACCCTTATACATTTGCTCAGAGTGTTTTAAAACTAATGGCGGCTATCTACATCAAAGATTAGGTCAGGGGGTTTTAAATTTTGGCTGCGATAGTAAGCATGATGATTTATTTGCAATTCTAGAAAAATTTGAAAACTGGATTAAATTAATAGCAAAATCGGATAATAAATTACAAAAACAGCAACTTATCTAGTCGTTATTGCCAGCAATTAAGACATTAAAATCGGGTTTGCCAAAAGACTTGATTTATAGCCCTTTTGATGACCAAGTTCTACCAACTTTATTAATGACTCAAATAGCATTTAGATTAGAAAAATAGATTTAAGTGATAAAGTAAAAGCAACATTTTTAGAAGAAAAAGAATGTGCACAATTCAGAAATCTTCTTGGAGAATCCTTGTAGCAATCTTGTATAGTGCTTAAAAACAATTTACCAACCTTAGAAAATCCACAATCTCTTAAACAATATACTGCAGCATTTCCCTAGACTTTGTGGTTTTTTTTTAGCAGCCTTATTACAGTTTTTTTTAAAAAAAATATGAGATTGCAAAACGACAAAGAAAATCTCGTGAATCACCATCGATTCTATTAGATTTAACAATAGTTACCAAAATTACAACTTTCTTAGTATCAATTATAATAGGAATTG